CATCTATTTGCCTATTAATTTAAATATCTGAAATATAACAATAACTTTTGCACATAAAATTAATAGCTTTCAATTATCATTCATTCTTGTGCCATTTTACCCTGGAATAATAAATATATGTGTATTCACCAACTGGTTGAAATAATTTGAGCAACTTACAAAAGGAGATTTTTCCAGCTCAAGGGACTTCTAAAACACCTATGTTTGAAAATGAAAGCTTAGATATTAATAAATCAAAATGACCCGGTTTGCTTGTATTCCAAGTCTAGTCACACTGGTTAAATATGATGTCCTTTCCTGATTGTAGGGTCATTGGTATTTGATAATTTTAGACATTTTGGAAATGACACCAAATTAGGAGTTTCACTATTTGACTTTCCAAAGGCCAAAACTCAAGGGCCGTGGTTTGAATGTTTTGTGTCCCCAAAGTTCCATTGTGGTTAAAGACTGGGTCCCCAGCATGATTTTGGTGGGAGCTCTTGGAAGGTGGTATTCCAAAGGAGGTTCTGAGGTCACTGGAAATGTGAAGTGGTTTGTGTGTGGCCTTTTGAGCTCTCCCCAAAGGTTATTATGAAAATAGGGAGCCCAGCCCCACTTGTCCCCTCCTGCACATGTTCCAAATGTGACCACCCACACTGACACTCACCCCCACTATTGTCTGCCATTCACCATGAGGGCCTCACCAAGCTGAACCAATTCAGGTGCTGAGCTCTTGGACCTCCTAAACAGTGAACTAAAGAAACCCTTTCACTTCATAAAGTTGGTTGCCTTGAGTGTTTCATTATAGTAATCCAAAGCTGGTGAATACACCAGGTTAAATAGAAGAATCTGGCAGAGCTGGAAGGCTGAAATTTGAGTGCATGCTGACTTAGGATGTTCTTACATAGTTTAGGGTGTCTTTCAGGACAGGGGTCATCAGAGGTTGGCTCCCTAGCATGCCAGGGATAGCACCACAGCCCAGCTCTGGACTCTGTCACTAAACCTTTCAGGAATAGCTACTACGTGCTTTAGCACATAGCATGGATCCAGTAGTGAATGGAATAGATACTGGTTGGGGAGAGAGAAGTAAATAGTTTCACTATAATGTGTCATTGCATCAGATGCACAAATGGGTCCAATTACCAGCCTACCTGTGTCCACTGCATAGCTTTGCCCTATAACTTTATCCTCTCCACCCACTTGGACTCTGGACTGGCCTAGGAAGTCCCTTTGCTCAGTAAAATAAATAAGGCAAAAATGATATTATGTCAAATATAAGCATAGATCTCCAGAGGTATCTACACTTTTGCTGCTTCTCAGATGTCTGACCCAAAGAGCTCACACGAGGTCACACACACATACCCACACACACACATTCATTGCCATACTAGGGGCCGAGCCTCTGACACATCACCTTTGGGGGACAAAGCACATCTAAAAGCTACAGCATCCAGGGACCAGAGAGGCCAAATGAGAAATGAGGGGTGAGCTGAGCTCATGCAATAGCACTAACTTCAGCTTAGGAGTCCAATTGGCCGGAGTTCAAATCCATCCTCTTAGCTCCTCATGGTTGGCCTTAGGCTGATGACTTGCCATATCTGGGTATCAGCATCTTTGTCTGATGTAATGGTGGACTCTTATCCCCCAGGGTGATGTCAGGACTGACATGTTATACATGAACACCTGGAGTGAATGCTACAGCACTGTCTGTTCAATACCATGTGTTGGGAGCGGCTGGAGCTGGAAATGGGTGATAGTGTGGAGACAAGTCAAGGCCATAGTGCCTAAAGCAGTCAAGCTACCTCAGTCTTGACAAAAGCATCCTGCGTGGACAATTCAGTCATTAGTCGCTAGGCAACCTCTCATCTTGTGATACTAACTTTGCAAAGATATAAATAAAAGCCCCTACTGTTGTTGTTGAGGTCCTCTTACCCATCAGGTAAAGAGGCCTCCACCTGACCCAGATCTTGTCTCTTGTCTATCTTTTCCTCATTCTCACTGCCGGTCCTTCCCGGGGTACAGCAAGAACCCAACGAGTCACAACATCATTGGCCAAGGGGGACTGGCACTGCTACTCCTCATGGATTAGTTGCTCATCTTGGGGAACATCGTTCATGCAAGGTGCTGAATTTGGTACAGTCTACAAGAACTTTTGACTATAACACCTTTTACTCCACTAGATGTCAAAAAAAAAAAAAAAAAAAAAAAACAAGACCTGCACTGCCAAAGCTAAACGCTTAACAGGAAACAGATGAGGAAATTGAAGCAAGGTCTCTTGTAAATGTGGTTGCTAAACAGAAGTCAGCTCTTTGCTGGTCCTCCAGTCTTGCCAGAAGAGCCCCCTACACTATGTGAGGACTTGAGTTGTGTTAAGCCCTTGCCCTTGGACACACTCTCATGCTTTGGGGTTTATCTGTCCCACTGTTGGCTCTCTTACTCCTGATCCTTGTCTGGAAAATGGGCTGTGCCTTTGGGATTCTCCGCCCAATCCTCAGCTCTTTGGCTTTGACTCATTCCCTGACAATTGGATATTCTCCATTGCTTCCCACAGTGCTCAGCCTTCCTAGCACCTTCTACAGGAGTGTTAACAGCCCTGAATTGCCTGGTAAAGTAGCATCTTATATTAGGACTATGGCTCTGGAAAACAGAATACCATTCTGTAGTGGCCTATGCTGATGGGGAGGGGTGGATATTCGTCTCCTACAATAACATGTAGGCCACTCATGGATGGCAGGTTAGACAAACTCTTGGCACACTAGATAGCTCCATGCTTCTGCTCTGTAGTTCTTAGCTTTCCTCCTCATAGCTTTTATCTCATGACCACAAGATGACCAATGCTCTTCCAGACCTCCGTTCTGAGTTATAAGCAGAAAAATGAGAAAAACAAGTAACAAAGACTACCTATACTAAGAAAGCAAAATGTCAGTTTACTATTCATTGGCAAAAGGTATTACACATAGTCTTTAGCTGCAAGAGTGTGGGTAAATTCATAATTTTAGGTGCACCTGTTGACTTATGAATATGAGTAATGTTAGTAAGGATGAATGATAATATAGATTAAATCAGGGATCAACAAATAATAGCCAGTGAACGAAAGATGGCCCACTACTTGTTTGTATAAATAAAGTTTTATTAAAATGCAGCTGCAGGCATTAGTTTACAATTCAACTACAATAGCAGGATTAAGTAGTGTTGAAAGGCAATGTGCACAATGAGTCCACACTATTTACTCTCTGGTTCTTTAGAGAAAAGTTTGAAATTCTTGGAAGCAGAAAATCAGTAGTGTCTGCCATAAACACCAGCAAAGACTTAATTTTTTTTGGAAATAAGTTATTTTCAAAACAGCATCCCAATAACCAGAGGAACAATCATAATAATTTTTTTGTCTGCTTCTATCTCCTATCTTATAATTTAGTATTATTTTGGATTTTTATTTACATATAGGATTAATAAAAAGCCTTATAACTTTCCAGGGCTTACAGTTAATAAAGTTCTTAAATTGACCCTGATTTTCAAGCATTCCTATGGTCAGATTGCCACTCACTCCACATTATACATGAGCATTTACTATTAGCAGGTATATGACCTTTGCTAAGTAATTAGGTCACGATGGTGGGGTGCTTGTGATGGGATTACTGTCCTTATAAGATACCAAGGGGTCAATCAATCTTTCCCTCCCCTCCTTACTTTGCCATGTGAGGACAAAGAGAAGGCATCTTTCTGCAGAATAACAAGGGGTCAGAACCAGACACTGGGGGGGGCCATTGTCTTGATTTTTGGACTTCCAGTCTGTAGAGCTGTGAGCAATGAATGCTTGTTGTTTGAACCACCAGGCCTATGGTATTTTTGTTATATCAACCTAAACTAAGAGAGCCACCCAAGGGTGAGTCTTCCACACCCTAAGGTATGGAATTGCTGAGCAAATTTAGTTAAATCTTTCTTACCCAAACTGACACAATCAATCAACCATCACAGTATCTATGTGTCGTTTTCTTTCTGTGATCTCAGTCAGATCAAATAACATCTGGTAAAGTTTTCTGACAACCCTAATAAGTATATTGGGGTCTTTAGAAGACTTACTCAGACCTATGAATTAGACTGGAAAGATGCAATGCCACTCTTAAATTAAACACTGACTTCTAATGAGAGACAAGCAGCATTACAAGCTGCTATTACGTTTGTAGATGAATATCATATTTTCAATTTTAGAAGAGCAAGGCGGGCATGGTGGTGCACGCCTATAATCCCAGCACTCGGGAGGCTGAGGCAGGTGGATTGTTGTGAGTTCAAGATCAGCCTGGGCTACAAAGTGAGCTCAAGAGCAGCCTGAACTGCAGAGCGAGACCTTGTCTCAAAAAAAAAAAAAAAAAAAAAAAAAAAAAAAATTTTAGAAAGGCAGAAGACAGACAGCAAAGGGAAAAACTGGTTCCCACTGGAGCCCAAGCAGTCCCTACACAAGATCCTTACTGGCCTACCAACCAGGCAGGAGACTGGAACAGGAGGCATCTTCAGACATACATTCTCAAAGTTCCTGTCTAAGAAGGGCAAGAATTAAACCCTTCGATTATTTGAAAGTGTGAACTATTCATCAGGAAAAAGACAAGAAACCCCTCCCTCCCCCACTTAGATCACTTAGAAGAGCCATTGATAAAATAACACTGCCTTGTTCCTGATTTGATAGAAGGACAGATTATTCTTAAAGACCAGCTTATTACCCAGTCAACCTCAAATATTAAGGAAAAGCTACAAATAATGGCTTTTGCTCCAGGTAGCTCACTTGATACTTTCGTGAGAATTGCTGCCTCATATTTTATAGCTGAGATGAGGAGGAAGCCAAGGGGAAAAAACAAAGAGACCAAGAAAAAGAAGCTGCTTTAGTTGCACCCTTAAAAGTACTAGATCCTAAGTCTGATTCTCAGGGCTCCAAGAAGACTTTGTTGATTACATTCACTTGCTACCACTGCTTAAAGCCAGACCACCTTAGGAGGGGTTGTGATAAGAGCCGATCAGACCCATCTTACCAGCTGGTCCAGCATGACTGGAGGGCCCCGGGGCACTCTCCACCTGCTCCTGTTGACCAGACTGTAATATCCACAGAGGAGCTCCAGGTAATCATGACTGTTGAGGGAAAAGAAATCAGCCTATTGCTAGACACTGCTGTGTGTCTCTCTGTCCTTTTCAATCTGGCCTTCCTTCCATCTGCCATACTTCAGTAAAAGGAGTCACTGGAAAGGGATAACTCACTATTTCTCACAACCCTTAGTCTATAACTGGGATGGCTTTCTCTTCACCCACTCCTTTTTAAGTATGCCCAAAAGTCCAGTTCCCCTCTTGGGGGCAGATAGCTTACCTTTCTTGAATATCATAACATACGTGCACTCAGGTCTTGCCTTCATGGAGACAGAAGTAAATCCTGAACTATGGGCAACTAAAGGTAAAATAGGAAGAGCAGTAAGAGTTGGCCTGGGGGGCTGGGGATTTAGCTCAGCGGCAAAAGCGCCTGCCTGGCAAGCACAAGGTCGTGAGTTTGGTTCCCGGTACCGGAGAAAAACCAAAAAAAAAAAAGAGTTGGCCTGGTACAAATACATCTCAAAGATCCTACTATTTTTTCTCACTGGAGACAATACCCTCTAAGACCTGAAGTTAGAAGACTATTGTCTATGATTAATAATTTAAGAGCACAAGGTAAACTTACACCCTGGAACATCCCATGCAACACTCCAATCCTGGAAATTCAAAAACACAATGGGGACTTGGTACAGGACCTAAGATTGGTAAATGAGGTAGGAATGCCAATCCACCCTGGTACAACCCATGCACTCTCCCTTCTCAGATCCCAAAATATTCCTGTTAGTTGTCAGTGTTGGATTTAACATTCCCAGTTCCTCTTTGCCTTTGAGAATCCTCACAACCAAGCCTCTCAACTGACTTGGACTGTGCTTCCTCAAGGGTACACAGATGGTCTCATCTTTTGGATAAGTGCTTTCCCAGGACTTGACGTGTTCTGAATTTTCCCAAGTCACAGTCATACAATATGTAGATGATCTACTGTTATGTGCACCCTCAGAAGAGCTCTCCAGCCAAGACACCCACACTTTGCTGAATTTTCTAGCAGACAGAGGTTATAAGGTCTCTAGGTCTAAGGCACAGCTTTGCAGCCTTGAGGTAAAATACTTGGGCCTTATCATATCTAAGGGAACCTGAAGGCTGTGGGAAGAGGGAATTAAACCAATACATTCTTTCCCACAGCCCAAGACACTAAAACAGCTAAGGGAATTGCTAGGAGTTATAGACATTTGTTGTCTTTGGATAGCAGAGTATGGTGAGATCGCATGACCCCTCTATCAGCTCATAAGGAAGCCCAAAAGGCAGATGCTCATATTTTAACCTAGGAACCTGATTTCCAAACTGCATTCCAGAAACTTAAATGAGCACTTCTAAATGCCCCAGCCCTGAGCATACCGACAGGACACTATTTCAATCTGTATGTGATGAAAGGTGGGGCATGGCTTTGGGGTGCTTAGGCAGGCTCAAGGACCTACTCAACAGCCTGTAGGTATCCGAGTCATAAAATAAACAGTGCAGCAAAGGGGTGGCCTGCATGCCTTAGAGCTGTGGCAGCCATAGCTCTTCTGGTGCCAGAGATATCCAAGCTGAATTTTGGCAAAGATCTCAGTATATATATATATATATATATATATATATATATATATATACACCTCACAATGTGACAGGACTCCTCTCTTCCAGAGGGAACCTATGGCTATCAGACAACCAACTTCTTAAATACCATGCTCTACATCTGCAAGGACCAGTATTCAAACAAAGACAAGTTCCTCCTTAAAACCTGCCACCTTTCTACCAGAAAGGGAGGAAATTGAGGCTGAAAGACATGACTTCAGACAGGTGATTCTCCACACATATGCAGCCAGAGAAGACTTGTTAAACACACCCTTTACTGACTCTGATTTGACCACTGTGATGGCAGCTCCTTCATGGAAAATGGGACGAGAGAGACAGGGTATACAGTAGTGACTCTACACCAGATGCTTGAAAGTTCCTCGCTTGCCCCTGGGACCAGTGCTCAGCTAGCAGAGCTCATAACTCTAACTGGGGCTGTACAACTCAATGAAGGACAAAAAATCAACATTTATACTGATTCAAAGTCTGCTTTCCTAGCCGGGCGTGGTGGCGCATGCCTATAATCCCAGGGCTTGGGAGGCTGAGACAGAAGGATCTTTGCAAGTTTGAGACCAGCCTAGGGGCTACAAAGTGAGCTCAAGGCCAGCCTGAACTGCATAGCAAGACCCTGACTCAAAAGACAAAATAAAAAAGAAAGAAAAGTTCAGTGATTCATAGTTTAGTCCTTACAGGGTAACTGAGTGGTCTATAAACTACACTATCTTAGACATAGTCAAATTTTTTCTAAGAATGCCACTGAGGCCTCTCTACAGACTCAAGTAGAACCTCTATTAAGTAAGAGTAAGAGTCTTACCATGAAAGCCAACAATCATAGATACAAAGGTGGCTATTTACAGATATGGAATGATTATATGTGGTGAACTCCAACTACAGTGATCCCTCACCTATCGCAGGAGTAACGTTCCAGAGACCCTCGCGATAGGTGAAAATCCACAAAGTGGTAGTGTTTGTTTATTTTATTATGTATATAATTTTAAGGCCTTATAAACACTTCCCACACTCCTATAAACCTTTCCCACTCTCTTATTAACCTTTCTCACACCCTTATACACTCTTGTTATGCTCTTAAACACTCTCTACACTCTTGAACCTACGTAATTTTAGCATGTAAAATTCTATATGTGTACTCAATGTGAAGTGGATAAGGACAGATACTGAACAGATGGGTGCAGTGTGGGAGAGCAAACAGACTGATGCTAAGGTCACTGAGCCAATCAGTGCCCAGGATACAGAACACAGTGCTGTGGTTGGTTGCCTTCCATTCCATCAGCCAATAGTGCGCCATGTACAATCTCAAGTTGGCAGACTTGCACAGGCAGTAGTGGCATACTGCATTTCCATTGGGTACAGTACTGTATTTTATTTTTATTTAATATTCTTTTAATATGGTTGAAATAACATGTTTTATATTTTTATATTGTTTTACATTTTTTGGCAAAAATAATTAAAATCATAAATATTATATGAACACCTATATACTGCAAAATCCCATGATATAGTGAAAACTCCACAATACAGAATTAGATATGTATTTTTTTAAACCCATGATACAGTGATATCCGCAATAAGTGAACCACAATATAGCGAGGGATGACCGTATAGGACAACTTAGTAGCAAGGTCCCCTTATGTTTGGAACAAAGAAATCACTCATATTCTCATTGCCCCTACTCCACTAGATACTTGGGATAGACACTCCCCTAAACAGTGTGTATACCATAACTTTACAAATCAAATACTGGTTTGCAACAGGCTATTTTAATCACCCTGGCCTTAGATGGGAAGCCCTGAATGGCACTCACTGGTCCTTTAGAACCAATATGTGGCCTTGGCTACCACCTGGATGGATAAGGAGATGCATGCTGAGACTTGTGTGGCTGCAAGGCAGGAGTGTCAAAAGTATTGACAAACCTGAAAACTTAACAAATCCGCATCGATGGTCTAGAAGTGTTTCACTGGTATGATCATTTGGCTTCTATTTTTGTCCCTTCCCTAGTATTAGAGGATGTCATGCAACATATCAAGGCCTTGGCTAGCTATACTCAGTGGGCCTTAAACAACACCGTGACTGGGTTCTCTCTCTCCTAAATGCAGAAGTAAAATTAATGAGGCAAGCTGTCCTCCAAAATCGGTTGGCATTAGACATCCTATGGGCAACACAAAGGGGTACTTGTGCAATTGTAAAAGCTGAATGTTGTATGTACATTCCTGATCCTCCTGCTAAGATCTTGATGGCTGTTCAAAATATAAAATGACAGGTTAATGCCACGTCAGTTTTGAAATTCACTGGACTCTTCTTACCTTCTTTGTGGAAGGCTAGTGCTGGCTCTTCTGGGTGGAAACATTTGTTAGTTGTATCCGTAATAGTCTTGTTGATCTTATTATTTGGCCCATGCATACTTAACTGTTCCTTTTTCTCCTCCAGACTTAAATCTATCTGCCTATCCAAGATAAGAATGGCTGGTGTCTATCAAGGGCCTTTAGATAGACCCTCTGTGGAGTATCTCTGACTGAGGAGCACAACTACAACTCCTGTCAGCCTAAAGCAGCCAGAAGAGTCACTGCCCTTTGCCTGCTCATGACATTTAGTGATGCCTCTTCAGAGGGGGGAATATTACAGACAGCTAAACTATGTAGAAATATATATAATAGGCAGGCAGACAGGGATAGACCCTTGGGGGAGTCAATGCAAGGGAAGAAAACACATTACAACTCTGGCCAGAGGCACAGCTGTTGGAGACCAGGCCTCAAAATAAAGACAAAATGACCGGATCTACATGCCCCCCAGAGAGATAAACAATAAATTAACATCAGTTGCCCCAGTAGGTGACCAATACTCCCTTATTCATCTCCTCCTAAAAAAAGTCCTTCTTCTTTCCATGTATACTTTCTACATGACCTGCTTCCACATTGGATCAATATTACATAAGCAGCTAAACTTGTAATCTTATTGGTTGATCCTACTTTTGGTCCCCCATTGGACCCGCCTCATGATTTTTTACTCACTTTGTGATTTCGCTCTATAAAACTTCCCCTGCAAAGTAGAGTCTGTGGCAACCCATTTTTGGATCCCCTCTTGTCTCTTAGGAGCTAGTTCTCTCAATAAATATTTCCTCCTCTTAACCTCTGTTGTTCCTTAAAATCATTCCTCAGTTTTAGGGAACATGAACTCGGCATATCTGACATCTAGCAGGTTGGGAGTTATATTTATTTCCTCTATATCAACGAGTCCTGCTGAACTCAGAGGTGACAGTTCACATCTATTGTTCCAGAAGCTCTGAGGCCCACAGGTACACATCTAGTATCTTCTGCATCCGGGAGCTTAGTTGTATACACAGCTTGGAAATGACCTCTTGCCAACATCATTAGCAGCTCCCAGCCAAGGAAACAAGATGGGACCCTGCCCATCAAGGAACATACTTCCTGATTTTACAGCCCATCTGCCACATGATCACCTTTGAATCCACCTCAGACTAAATCCACACACTGGATGATTACACTTGGCAAGACCTAAAACTTTAATGGTTTATGAATAAGAACTCAAAGAAACAGTGTGCACAAAATAGGTAACTCCTGAGGGCTTGGATCCCAAAGAAACATCCCCACCTCCCTTTCCCCCAGAATGAGCAAGATTAAATCTAGGAAGCTTGCTGCACTGGCCTGTTACCACTGTGATCCGTGATCCGAGGAGTGATGCTAGCGGTAGGGTTTCAGTTTGGTGTAAGCGGGGACTGCAGTTGAAGATATCGTTGGCCTTCTGGCAGATGGACAACCCAGACTATATCCCTCGTTCCCAGCACTGGCTGCCCCAGGAATCTCCATGAAATGCATCCCACCTCTACGTAGCCCATCTCTCTTCCCTAGGACTTAGGGCGGCAGCACCTTCAACAGATCAATCCTTTCATGTGCCAAGAAGGGCCTTTGAGGTAACCAGGGCCTCTCACAGACAAGTTCTCCCGGTTTATCATTAAATTATGTCAGGGTGGACTGTAAGGCCTAGAGAAGAGACACAAGCTCTCAATAAATAGAAGTCAAAAACCTCCCAAGTGTGGCAGGAGACTCTCTAGGGAAGGTTCAGGCGACCAGCTCTCTCCCTGCCAGCCTTTCCTTTCCCAAAGGTAATAAGGTCCCCAAATGGCATCCACCAGGGGGATCACTCCATACCTAGGAAGCAGGAAGTCCTACCCCCAGAAGGAAGAAGACTGGAGGGTGACAGCCCAGAGCAAGGCCCTGGTGAAGGGCCAGGGATATAGCTCAGCGGCATAGTGCCTGTCTGGCAAGCACGAGGTCATAAGTTCGATTCCCTGTACCACCAAAACAAAAAGGCCCTGGTGAAGAGGGCAAGCCTGGGCATGTTAGCGGCCACTTAGGTTCAAACATGTGGGTTCACCTGCCCACCCCTGACCAAATCAGAGGAGGTCATATATTTGGGTAAAAAGGAATCAGGACTTATTCAAAGCAATCTCTGAGGCGATGGAGGGGCCCATTTGCCTCAAATCACCATCTCACCATGTACAGGGGGCAATGATCTTTTACAGTAGAAACAGAGAGGAGAGGAAACACACGAAGACAATGCAGATCTCCACAACTGCTTCGTTATTTCCAGGCACCTTCAGCTCATCCTCCTCTTTCTTGTAGAAAAGAAACCAGGCCCGTGGCCTCCTCCGGCTGGCATCTGCATATTCTGCCACTTTTGGAGGTGTTGACTATATGCTCAGTGGGAAGAAGTGTGGAGAAGTTGCTTATCTGCAAAAGAAAAAAACCCAACTTTTATTATATCTATAGTTATTTTTGTTTAACCATTTTAATTTTTATTAAATTTGTTTGACTTTATTTTACTTTATTTTTTGGTACCAGGAATCAAACTCAGGACCTTGTGCTTGCCAGGCAGGCACTTGTGCGTCTGAGCTATATACCCAGCCTAAAAACCCAGTTTTTAAAGTTCCATTTGCAGTGACGTTTACAAGCTAAGATCACTTTGGGAAGCTTGGGCGTGCTCTCAGGCTGCTGGGCGTGTTTACTTCCCTGTAAATGAGCTTTCCTGTCCTCAGAGCCCAGCAAGAGCTGTTAAGTGTGGGAGAAATTTTGTGCAGTTAGCATGTAAGAGCTCAAAGGTACCGCAAACATGTTATCTTTTTCTTAGGGAGATTTTCAAATGTACACAAAAATTAGAAAACACTTATAAGGAACTACCAACTTCAATAATTATTCACGTGTTACTTATCTTGTTTCATCTATTGACTCAAAAAAAATCAATGGGCAAGTCCTCTTGAGTATTTTAAAGCACATCTCAAACATGGTATTGATATAGGGCACAGGATATAAGATTTCCAAATAATATAAGGGAAATATAATTCCCAACCTGCTTGAGGCCCAAAACACCAAGTTGGGGTTCTCTAAAATAGAGGAATGACTTCTAGGAACAATAGAGGTGAAGAGTAGGAAGAATTTATGAGTGAAAGAAAGCTTCTGTCTAAGACATAAAGGGGGGACCCAGAAAGTGAGTGGCCAGCGAACCCCATTTCTCAAAGAATGTTTTATTGAGCAAACCCAAGAGTGAGGCAGGTTTCAGGTGGGACAGAATTATAATTAATCAATAAAATTACAAGTATAATTGCTTAGGTAATATTGATCCAATGGGAAATCAAATGTGGATGCAAGGTGGGACAAAACTATGGTGAACCAATAGGGTTACAACAAGTAGCACATGAGAGAGACAAGAACTTTCCTGGAAGGGTGAGTTAAAGAGGTTTGGTCCTCCACCCCAAGGTGACTGATATCTCTTTAGAATATCAATCACTGCTCTTTACCTCTGGGGAAAGTATATGTATGAGTAATTCCTCCTTCTCTTGAAGCCTGGCCTTCAGTAAATACACCTCCAGCCACAGTTTATGACTATAATACTTTTAGATAACTTAGATATCTATAATAGTATCAACTCATCTAAAATTAAATGTATGAAAAATGATGGAAGTGTCACTGTGGGTGATGGGGTTCTGGCCTGGTTTCTAGGTTCTTATGCACAACAAACAAATAATTGCACATGGCACACGACAGTAAGGAAAAAGCAGCAAAGTTGAATTAAGTTTAATTAGGTTATGGTAGGCTCAGAATGAACAGGTTCACAAGCTGGGTTTAAGTATTTAAAATGATGGTGTAGTGGAGAATACCTGTAATCCTAGCATTCGGCTGACTGAGGCAGAAAGATTGATGCAAGTTTAAGATCAGCCTAGGCTATACAGTGAGAACCTGGACTACATAGCAAGAACTTGTCTCAAAAAGAAGAAGAAGAAGGAGAAGGAGAAGGAGAAGGAGAAGGAGAAGGAGAAGGAGAAGGAGAAGGAGAAGGAGGAGCAAAAGAGAAGAAGAAGGGGAAGAAGAGAAGAAGAAGAGGAAGAAGAAGAAGAAGAAAGAAGAAAAAGAACTTAAAATGTTGGACCAGGTCTAGAGCACCTCCCATTGGGTCTTCCAGAGGTGACTGACAATGTGATTGACAGGGTGTTGAGTCAGGTCAGCTGTGTCTGCTATGCAAGTCCTATCCCGTAATTCTCCTATAATTGGATTATGTATGAAGCTTTAGTGGGCTCCAACCACAGCAAGTTACTATAAGTCATGCCAGCAGGTCTGGCACACATTCATCTCGGAACTTCCAGTTCTCCAGGGGCTTTTGTCTTTCTCCTCTCTGCCTCCAGATAGTAGACCTTAGGACAAAGGTCAGGGAGGTTGGCCCTGGGGCGTTGCCCAGGTTCAGGAGAGCGAAGGGGATGTCTCATAGCCTCAGTTGTACTGTCATAGCAGAAGGCTATTGTTTTGTTGTTGTTGGTGGTGGTGGTGGTGGTGGTGTGTGTGTGTGTGTGTGTGTGTTTTGAGACAGGGACTCCACATGTAGTTCAGGCTGGTCTTAAACTCACTATGTAGCCTAGGTTGGTCTCGAACTCATGGACAGCCTCCTGTCCTGGCCTCCCAAGTGCTGGGATTACAAGTGTGCACCACCACACCCCAAGGCCGTTGTTGGGAGGTTGAGCTTCTCCGCTTAGCCACAACAGGCCAGACCAAACCAAAATGGAGTTGTCAGCTGCTAAAGAGGAACTTTCAGGGTCAAGGACATAGATCATCAACACAGCACCTGCCTGGCAAGCGCAAGATCCTGAGCTTCACTTCTGGTACAAAAACAAAAAACTTCTAGGAGTTCGTAGGGGCAGAAGCTGCCTCTTTAAAAGACTGACATCTCTTCTCTTCAGTGTTGTTTTTCTGTTTCACGTAAGGCCCCTCCAGAGAAAATGACAAACCAGCCAACACAGTAGTCCCTCTCCTAAACATTGCTCTTTATCATCTCATTATAATGCTAAATTCTCTGCCGGGGAGGCAGCCCTCTCCTCCCTCTTGTAACTGGAAATCTATGAAAGAGCCTGATCTGGAACTGGGTGTACAGCGAGAGTCGAACCCAAAACAGCGTCCCTGCCTTTGAATCTTCCTGAGCGCTCCTTACCTGCTACAGGTAATACACTTCTCACTCTTCTCCCTCCTGGTTGTGCTTATTGGCTTTGCTAAGTGCCACATAATCAAACAGAAGTGTTAAGGAAGCAGACAGATCCCAAAACAGACCAGTTTTTCTTGCACACAGGAGATTCCAGTTTACCTTTGAGAATAGCAAACACTAATGTCCCTCTGCTTTACCTCTCATTAAAAAAAAAAAAAAGTAACTGAAGTACCCTGGTGTTAGCCAATTCATTTTTTTTCTATTGTTCCGTTTCCTTGTTCCTGCTTTACAAAACCGGCTGTTCTGCCCTTCCCGGGGGCTGGGGCGGCTCCCATTCTATTTTGTAGAATATAAACTGCCCCAATCCATGAATTGCCCATAAAAGCCAATTAGATCTGTAATTCCATGTTTGTCGGTTTGTCTTGACAAATACTACTAATTAAACAGTATTTGGATTATTACACACGACAGTCCCGACGCTCAACCACACAAGCTGCTTTTGAGCCAGCAGGTGGAGACCTCCTTCCTGGTCTAGGGCACCCCCTGCTTTGACAGTGAAGCGAACTGGCCTGCCCAACGTTGGAGCTTGGGCGCGAACCAGAGAGGTCGGTCCTCCCAACTGCCTAGTGAGTCCGGGACCCCGGGCTGGCGACCTTCCCCAGGCCTGGTCCCGGGAGCGGGCGGGAGCGGCCCAATCCTGAGGCTCAGCGCGGCACTTCTGGGAGCTCAGTCCGCCAAGGATGCAGCCGGGTCCCGGGCAGGGCCAGCGGCGGTAACGGAATCGAGGCGCCCCGCGAGGGGGACGGGAGCGGAGATGGCCCTAGGGGGAGGAGAAACCCCGCCTGGCAGGCGCTGGCCGCGAGCAGGAAGTCGCCCGGGGCGTGGCAGGTGCGGTGGGGTGGTGTCCAGGGCCCCGGGAGAGGTGAGCTTAGACTCGGGCACTGGCATCCCGGCGGGAGGACGGCATTTTCTGGAAGAGGAAAGGACTCCAGAAAAGGGGTGCTCCGAGAGCTGGGGTCCCGGCCGTCGCAGGTCTGGAACACGGGGACGGGCCCGCCGAGTGGGGTCTGGGGGCAGCGGCGTGGCCTCCGGCCTCCGGGAGCGCTGCTCCGCGCTCGGCAAGGGCGAGGGCTGTGGGCGGCGGAAATCACAGGCGCTGAGGAGGGGAATGCGAGTGTCTGGAAAAGTGGCTCGGGCTGCTGGAGGGACGCGGGGCCGGTAGGGGGGTCTCGAGGAGCAAAGGCGAATAGAAGTGGTGCCCAGGCTCCAGGGCGCACCCCGGATTCCACGATGGGGAGACCGACCGGCTCAGAGCCGGGGGGCAGGGAGGAGCCTCCGGAGCAGCCTGCTAGGATGGGCGGGGGAGGAGGGAGCCCCTCCTCGAAGAGAGAGGCTTATGGACCCACAAAGCTCGCCTGTGGCTGCCGAGCGCCCCTCACTTCCAGCGGGCGGCCAAGCGCGCGCCGGACAGGGGACACGCGTGCAAAACCGCAGACGAGAGCCGGACCCGCGCACGCCGGCGCTCCTGCGCTGTGGCTTTAAGGTGTCTCTGGGCGCGCGGGCCCTTTAAGGCGGGGCCAGGGGCGTGTCAGGAAATGAGCCACGGCCCCGCCCCGCCCGGGAGGCGGCCTTGGACGTCCGGAGGCTGCGGGCAGAGACCGGCTGGCCTC